TACAGCTATAACGGTAAAACTAATTGACGACAGAGCTATATTAAATAATAGTATTTTAAATGTTGCCCAAACAACAACCCAAAACTTATTAGAAACAATCAAATATTATGCTCCGATGGTCAGCAACGTGACCCAAGAAAACAGTGGAGCGGAAATACCTAATAAAAATAAGTTGTCTATTTTTGGAAATTCGACCCAAACCACATTAGAAACATCAATTTTGATGGATAAAGCTGATGAGTTTGTAAATAGAAATCGAGAAAATAATTCAGATATAGGAGTATATTTTATTAAGAGAAAAGAAAACTTGAGTAAAAGTAATTCAATTGTCAATGAAAACGCGACGCAAGGCAATTTAGAAACAACAAAATATTATGATGATACTATAATGATCAGTGACGTGGTTGAAAAAATTGCGGCATTGAAAGAAATTAAGTATGACGAAAAGAATAATAACAGTACGTCTATTTTTGAAAATCCCATACAACCCACATTAGAAACATCGATTTCAGTGGATAAAGACACCAGAATTGTAAATAGGACATCATTAAGTAATACAGCTATCGGAGTAAACCTTATTAACAGAAAGGAAACAGTCAATAATAGTATTCTAGCTGTAATTGTAAGTACACCACAAAGCGCTTTAGAAACAACATATTATTATGATAATGTTACAATGAGCGGCAACGTGGTTAAAGAAAGTGGTGGACTAAAAGAAATACAGCAAGACGAAAAGAATAATAATCGTATGTTTATTTTTGAAAATCCCATCCGACCCACATTAGAAACATCAGTTTTAATGGATAATGACACCAGAGTTGTAAATAGGACTGCAGAAAGTAATACAGCTATCGGAGAGAACCTTAATAACAGAAAAGAAATAGTTAGTAAAAATATTTTAACTGTTGTTGAAAACGCAACACTAAGCGCGTTAGAAACAATGAAATTCTATGTTAAACCCTTGATACTCAGCAATGTGACCCAAGAAAAGGATGAGATAGAAAACATTAAAAGTATAAAAAAAAATTATAATATTTCGTCTATTTTTGAAAACTCTCAACCCACTTTAGAAAAACCAGTTTCAGTGGATAAAGCTAATCAGATTGCAAATAGAACTAGAGAAAATAATTCAGATATAGGAGTATTTTTATTAACATAGAAAAATTAAGTAATAGTAATTTAACTGTCATGGTAATTGCAAAACATAGTACAACAGAAAAAAACACAAACATTATGATAATGGTACAATGATCAGCGACGTAATGGTAGATAAAGGCGGATTGAAAGAAATTAAGCATGGCGAAAACAATAATAATAGTATGTCTATTTTTGAAAATCCCACTCAACCCACATTAGAAACATCTTTTTCAGTGGATAAAGACACCAGAATTGTAAATAGGACATCATTAAGTAATACAGCTATCGGAGTAAACCTTATTAACAGAAAGGAAACAGTCAATAATAGTATTCTAGCTGTAATTGTAAGTAACAAACCACAAAGCGCTTTAGAAACAACATATTATTATGATAATGTTACAATGAGCGGCAACGTGGTTAAAGAAAGTGGTGGACTAAAAGAAATACAGCAAGACGAAAAGAATAATAATCGTATGTTTATTTTTGAAAATCCCATCCGACCCACATTAGAAACATCAGTTTTAATGGATAATGACACCAGAGTTGTAAATAGGACTGCAGAAAGTAATACAGCTATCGGAGAGAACCTTAATAACAGAAAAGAAATAGTTAGTAAAAATATTTTAACTGTTGTTGAAAACGCAACACTAAGCGCGTTAGAAACAATGAAATTCTATGTTAAACCCTTGATACTCAGCAATGTGACCCAAGAAAAGGATGAGATAGAAAACATTAAAAGTATAAAAAAAAATTATAATATTTCGTCTATTTTTGAAAACTCTCAACCCACTTTAGAAAAACCAGTTTCAGTGGATAAAGCTAATCAGATTGCAAATAGAACTAGAGAAAATAATTCAGATATAGGAGTAATTTTTATTAACATAGAAAAATTAAGTAATAGTAATTTAACTGTCATGGAAATTGCAAAACATAGTACAACAGAAAAAACACAACATTATGATAATGGTACAATGATCAGCGACGTAATGGTAGATAAAGGCGGATTGAAAGAAATTAAGCATGGCGAAAACAATAATAATAGTATGTCTATTTTTGAAAATCCCACTCAACCCACATTAGAAACATCTTTTTCAGCTAACAAGACTGCTATTGTCAATGGATTATTAGAAAGAAACTCTACTATAGAAGGTCATCTGCAAGACAGACGAGTTATATTTAACCTGGACAATTTTACTGATAAATCTTTACTAATCACAAATGGCATGCAAGAAAAGAGTAATAACAGTAATGATTTGTCTGGTATTGACAAATCCTTGCAATCCAAATTGAAAAAGTCAAGCTTATATAAAAGTATTATAATAGAAGCTACAACAGAAAATTTGACACGCACTGATAATCCTTATTCATTATTTCACTCTACTGAAATGTTAAACTTGACTGAAGAAAATCGTGTAAAATATTTACCAGAAATAACGAGTGTTACCGAAACAATGAGTCATGACTGGGTTATTAGTGTGACGGAAAATGGTACTTCAGAAATGTCAAAATCTGTTGGAAATGAGTTAGAAAATTTACCATTCAGTAGCCATATACCTGCAGCAAAAGAATTTTCCCATATAGCTTTGGCGCCTGTAGTAAATAGTAGTAATGTAATAACTACGGTTGGGACCTTTGATTTTCCAATTGCATCAAAAGTGTTGGAAGAGAAAACAATTACCTTGCAATCATCATTTAAGCACACCAATTATAACAATGGTAATGCTAAAGATACATCTACTGCCATGGTAATGAATAATGATGAGTCTACATTAAAATTACATACTAAATCATTTTTAGATATCCCATCATCTACTGTGATTACTCAAAAGGATGCCACAATTAATGTACCCACAAAAGTTCTGAAAAGCTCGCAACAAACTATGGCTGTGGATGCAAAAAATGTGTCTATTGCAAAAGAAGTTTCTCCATTTTTTTATCAAAAAGATCCTCGTTACAATGACGATGAGTTAACAAAGGTCGACGAACCAATAAGGTTAAATGCTACGGAGTTAGTGCAAGATAATGTTACTGAAAATGTTACTACAAGCAACATGCGACACAAAGTATTAAGTGGAAAAAATAATGAAGTGAAGAATAGCGGAGAAGGTAAAATGTTCGGAAACACACTTGATAACAATTATAATAATACTTTTGTTAAAACTATTAATGAAGTAACATCAGTGCCACGTACCACTCCTGTGGAAAATAAAATATTAAACCCAAACTGTTCCAGAGAACTATTCAGAAGCGATAAAAAGGAACAAACATCAATTCAGAAAGATTTTAATTCCAAAAATGAGTCTAGTCTAGGTAGTACTGGTATTTTTCATACTTCTGTCAGTGGAGGAAATAATTCAATTAATAAAACAGAGACAACATTTTTGCTTAATACTAAGATACCAATACAATATAATATTAATATCAAAATTTTACCTCAACCTGATTCAAATAATGAAGTTACAGATCTTTCTTCAATAACTAATAACATAAACAAACTTGAAGAAACCGCTTCAGACAATAATAATAGTTTAAATGTACCTGCGTTCGTGCTTCCATCACCAAGTGAAGTCAAAATTAATTTGAATTATACTATAATCAATTCACGTAATGTGATAAATGAAACAAGGGAAATAATTGATATAAATAACAAAAATTATAGAGTGAAAAATATTCTCTTTGACAACAGAACAGATGAAATTGGTATGTTCAATGTAACACCAGTTCCATATACTGAGGCAAATTATAATGATATAAAAGAACATAAAAGTATAAAAGATGATGTCGAAAAAATATTTATTACCAATTATAATAAGGCTACTACAAATAATCCATTGACTTTTCCTACTAAAAAAAACCAAGTCAATGAAACAACAAGCAAACAAAAAGTTTCAGTATATTCAAGCTTACGATCTACGTTCCTTAACTTCGTTTGTAGAAATAATTCTCGGGGAAGATTTGCAGATGAATTTAATTGTAGAAGGTTCTACATCTGTATAGGTAATACTATACCCGTACTCGGCCTTTGTCCTTTGAACACAGTATTCAGTGAACTCAGAAAGCAATGCACAAAAAATTTATCACATTGTATCAGAAGTAATCAATTTAAATGTGTAGAGGAAGGAAGATACGTTGACGTTTGGCATGAAAATATTTATTATTTGTGCATTAAAGGTGTCGACCAGAGGTTCGTAAGATTCAAATTTCAATGTCAAAGTGGTTATCGCCTTGACAAAATAAATGTGACATGTAATAAGGTAATAACTGCCACAAAGTCAGTTTCTTCGTCGTCATCGATATCTTCAAATGATGAAGATATTAAAATGATCAGTAAAAATACAACATCTGGAATGAAAGTACCAGTTACATCTATAAGCTTTAAATGTGAAAGTGAAGGAAAATTTGTAGATCCTACTAATTGTAAAAAATATTACGTTTGTTCTAAAACGTCAAAAGCTGTCTTACGTCGCAAAAGAAAAAAGTGTGATTCGGGTGAAGTCTTTAGTAGTGATAAAAATAAATGTATTCATGAAGACAGCCACGAGTGTTTTTAACAAAAAAACAAATTTAAAAGGAAAAAAATGTTAAATACAAAAATTTGTAAAAATTAAATAAAAACAATAATATTAAATTGCTTTATTTATTTACTTTATGCTGTAAATGGCTTTACAATCTACAGTTTCCTCTGCACTAAAGGCACGTTCAGTCTTATAGGGTAAAAATTGGATTGAAACATATTATTTGTCATTTCAATGGTTTATAAATCCGAGGCTTACGATAAGCTGCACCTGCAGTTTGAATGAAAGAATCCTTATCATCTCTCTCTAATGTTATGCAGAATTGATTGGAGAAAATTGTACATTTCACAGTAGATTCTCCACGCACTGGGCGGGTTGGACAAAAATAGGTAGCGCGCACGGGACTTTGGTCTTGTGTCACTGAAAACTTATAATTCTTGCAATCGATGGGCCTATGCCAATGAGAAGTCGTGTCTGTGCTACCAAAGCTCTCTGGTCTGCTATTTGTGTCCATTCTGCGATTATCTTCATTGTATAATGTATTTGGTGCTTTTGTTAGATTTTGTAATGGGCATTTGTACTTATCGGGAGAAGAGCATGTTCGAGTGTAACCGTTGAAGATGGTGTTTCCCGAGCATTTGAATTTAATCCCTTGGAACCGGTTTTTGTTCGGTATACACAGAATGTAACCTTTGCAGCCGGCGACACTTGGGTCTGCAATCCTCTCGTTACGGTGACAACGCACCGTGCGGCTTATGGCTGGGTCAATATAATTTATAGTATTTTCGCAAACATCACTAGAGTCTTCGTTGCAAACGGTGTTTGCCGGGCAATTAAAAGCTGGGCCCAATAGGTTGTCCCCCTCGCAAAGTCTTATTCTATTGACGCCTTCGCAAATGAAGCCATAAGGTCCGCAGTCGAAATTTCTTGTTGAAAATGCTGTGGTGAAATCTCGTCCTATAATTAGTATCTGTAAAAGTTATAAGAGGATTTTTTTGATCCTGACACATATTTCACTATGTAGTATATCTTTTATATTTTTTATTTAAACTACAACGACATTTTCAATAATCTAAATTGAATTGGCATAAAAGTTATAAGGTATTTTAAAAAAGTTTCCTTTTTTTATTGAATTTTAAGAAATTTTGCTAAGTTATACCTAATAACAAAATATGTCCGCCTGATTAATCGTGCGAAATGAACAATATTTATAAACGACCCATAAAGATATATATTAGATATTATATATGTGAATAAAGTATTTAATATTATTCCTTCAGTTTACTTAGCATATCGTTTTCTAAAAAAATACTATAACTAATACAAAATTCAATTCAAAATCAGGACTTACCGAAATAAGAAAAATCTGATTAGAAGTGAGCATTTTCGGTGGCTTTATTCACAATTATTTCTTTTATTCACAAATCCAAGGTGGCTCGCAAGACGTGCGGCTGATGACTAACGAAGTAACGTGCTTTCTTCTAGTCACCATTTCGCGGGCAATTATCATTTTTAACACCTTTCGGACACGCCAAAATGAGTTCGTGTCACTGGGACGTTGTGCGACACCTTTACCTTTTATGAATGTTTGTAACGTTACAGTGTGCTCACGCTAGCTTTTAAGCTAACAACCTTAAACATAAAAAGCGTGATAAAAATGTGTGTATTCACCCAGTATACTGTTGATTCAACAATAGATTTTTGAGTTAGAAGTTTATCAGCGGTGCATAATAATGACTTACAGTTGCAAAATCGATTTCGTCGATTTTAAAAACATTTTTTTTTAAATATTATGCTGGAAAGGATATAACAATGGATGCGCCGAGTATTGCTTCAAATACTAAAAAAACAATGTAGATAAAAGACATTAACGCCCGGTTTCTGAAACACTGATCATTGTAGAAGTCAACTAATCAGCTGTCGAATAGCTTTTCAAATTTTATTTGAGTTGCCAAAAGGATTGTTAACTCTCTGAATGATCTTAATGATCAGAATGAAACCGGGCGTAATATAAGTGTTTTATCGGTGTGACAATCAGCCCCTTAGCTTAGTGGCTAAAGCGTCAAGGCGCGAATCCAGAAGACGTGGGTTCGATTCGCAGCGGCAAAAGACTTCGTACTTTTTTCTACAAATTTTTATGTTTAATAACATTATTTAACTGAAGGTAACTAGATACGCGTAGCTGTGATTTGAACTAATTTGGTTTATGTGAGAAAGTGGCAAACGAGCTGGAAGTTCACCTGATGTTAAGTTACAACCGCCGCCCATGTACAATTGCAACACTCGTAGGGTTGCAGATGCGTTGCCACATTTTGATAAAGTGGGCCCCGTCTATTTAATGTTCATTTCACGTACTTTACTATTAAAAAGAGGTGTGTGTTGTTCTGGAGTTAAAATGAAATAAAAAGATAGATGTTGTTTTTTGATAATGTTCTTTTGTATAGTAGGCACGTACGGCTTTAAAAAAATCAGAAAAGTGCGAGTCGGTCTCGCGCACGAAGGACTCCGTACCGTTATCTATAAAAACAACAAAAAAAAATCATGTCTGGTGTATGGGAGCTAAATAGTTTTTTATTGTTTTTTAGTATTTGTTGTTATAGCGTCAAGAGAAATACGTCATGTGTGAAAATTTCAATTGTCTTCTTATATTTCGGTTGAAATTACTTTTCATTTTTCTTTACTATAAATATTTTAAGCAAATTAATGATGACTTATCACGTAATCCTGAGGTAGGAGTTAGAAACGCAGTTCAAAAACAATGTGTCATTATCTGTCAATTGTGGGGCCTAAGGCAAACGGAAAGACAGACAGCTAAAGATTATTCCATATGTTCGCTGAACCCAATATACAACTTCATGTTAAGAACGGTTTCAAAAGTGAAAGCGCTGACTGGCAATGGCTGGCTCACATGTTGGGCGATACTACGTTTTAATTTATTTACTTAAAGTTGCATCTCCGAAGTATACAACAACATAAACAACAAAAGCGATGTATCTAAAATTTTTGTGTAATCTTAATTACACGAATTCTTAACTCCAAGCTACGAATTTACAACAACAAAAAAACTTTTAAAAATACGAATACAGTTAAAGTGCACTATACATACTACGTTATATTATAAGCATTTAATTACAATAAATAAGGAAAACACGAGCAGTCAAACAAAGAATGTATTTAAAATTAATATAAAACAAAATTATGCGACCTTCAGCATGGAGAACGTATTTTGTACAGGAAGGAGAGAAAAAAGACGGAAGGCTTGTAAAGGACCGTTTTCTTGACTCAATTGCAAAGCTTGTAACTCTTACTGATGAGTCAATGGCGCAGTTGCTGTGATGTTTGCTTCGGCACTTCGTGGGTTTGATTCTTACACAGGACAAATAATTGTACCGACTGATAATTTTACCGATTCAGGGTATTTGTATCCATAGAATTTGTGCATGTAAAATTTATTATAAACACAGGATTATGTCATTATATACTTCAAAAAAATCGCATTATTCGTATATTAAAAATTTCACCTAAATATACGAAAGCGAAGCAATAGAAAAGTACCCAAACGTGTATAATGCAGTTATCTCATTCTTATGTATCCTGTTTGTAGAGATTTGAGCAATCAGATGCAATAATAAATATTCACATGTAAACTTTGTGAGGGTCGTAACATTGCGTTTTTCCGTAAGTTGCTTTCAAGTCAAATTCAACTATTTACTTTTTTATTTAATTTATTTACTTATTTTTTATTAAATTATTTATTTTTTTATAACTATTTAATGTTTTTATAAATGGGTTAACTGATTTGTCAGTAATTGTCCCGTTTATAAAAAAAAATTTGGTGTACGATCACGAGATCAAGGGTAAATTATTCTAAACTGTTCTTTAGTTTCTCATCACCATGGCTTCTTAATTTCGGTTCTTAATTTTTTTATTTGTCATTTAGAGGTGTAAATGCATCATTAAGGTGTCAATACAAGTAGAGTGTCGACATTTTTTATCATTCAAGTTTCAGCGAGCAATATAAAAACTGCTTAATCGAGTAAATATTCAATTTTTCGTGCCTGGAAAGAGGACTAAGTTTATGAACACTTCTTTATTGTAACTTCGTTGTACCTATTTCGTAATTTACACTTGGAAAATAAATGAATTAAAATAAATGAAATTTCATCTTTGATGGTATCGGAAGTACGACCTGCCTCCAAATGCTTTTGACATTATATTATATATATATATATATATTAATCTCTGTATATTTATGTTGATTTATTGAACAAAGTAACGACAGTTTTACTTTATATTTATGTTGATTTCAACCACTGGTAAGTTTTATTTAGAGTACAATGACTCAAAATAAATATGTAATATAATAAACAGTTTAAAAATTGTTTATTTTATTTAATGGACTTTTCTTCCCTTTATGTTTATGCTATTTTTTCGTGTAATGAAAGATAAAATTGGTTATTTTAAATAAAACGTGAATTACGTTGTTTTTTAATTTTATGGATAAGAGATGATCATTTCGAAATTCTATGCATTCAAGAATAAAGAAACATGATCTACATACATTGTACAGTTATTCTTTTTACATATGTTAATCATGATGATGATTCGGTGGCGCAGTCGCTAAGCCATTGACTTCGAAGCCGGGGTTGGTGGGTTCGATTCTCACACGTGACAAGTATTTCTGTGACTAACACATAATTGTTTTAGATATGATAGTATCTGTTAACACGATGGTTGAAGGCAAGAGAAAGATGAAAGAGCGGCAAACTAAATGAATATTTGCCCGAATATGAAAATAAAAAATACGCCGAATAAATCAAATAGGAATATTCGGCGGAACCTAATATTGATCCAATCATAAGAGTGTGATAAAACTATCTGGAATAAAGCAGGGTAAATAAAAATAAATATGGTATTATATATATTTAATACTACACATATTTAATCTAACGCCTTAAACTTAGAAACTAATCATCGTCGGATGATTCGCTGTCACTCCCCGAACTGGTCGACGAATCAGATGATTGCATTTGTGTTCCGGACTTTGCTCTAAGGACAAAAATTTGCATGTTATTTTCTGAGTAAATAGTCGTAATTGACATGATACCATTTTTAATTTTCAATTCTATACTATAGAAGATTTGAATTTCTTAGCGATATTAGAGATTAATATCTCTTTTTTTTATTTTAAATGAATTATAATGATTGAATAATTAAAATCACAAAACACATTCGAACTACAAAACACTCTGTTCTTTTCTGAAAATTTCAACCTAAAAACAATAGCCATGGAATTTTTAATGCAATTTCAATTTTAAAATGCGTGACAAAAATACTACCGTACGGGGAAGTACCCAAGACCTCCGGCGTGAAATAGAAGTATTACACTTCTGCGTTTCTTCTGGCGAGTACGGTAGCCGGGGCCCACTTTATGAAAAGGTGGCAACGCATTGGTAGCGCTATGGATGTTGCAAATGTCCATGGGCGGCGGTTATCGCCTTACCATCAGCGCCTTGCCAGCTCCACACACCACATGTTGCCACATTTTCATGTATAAAAAAAAACTCACGCGTGGTAAGCTTCGGCGAGAACGAGAGCGGAGGGGTGCAGCGCGCCGGCCAGCTTGCTCCTGTCTTCCCGCAGGAGCGTTTCCACTTCTTCCTCGCTCCTGTTCAGCATCAGGGCGAGGGTTTGCACGCTGGCCGTCAGCGCCTCGTCGAAGCCGCAGTCCACCAAGTAAGCGACCGCCGTCTGGAGAAAGCGCGAGAAACTTGTGATGGCAATACTAACTTCCAATTATAATATAGTTTTAATCGATATGTTGAAACACCGAGAAAAATCTCACTTGCTCATTGAGGCAAACTACTATAGAAGGTGAATATTATTGAACAACGATGTTTTTAGGGTTCCGTACCAAAAGAGTAAAACGGGACCTTATTACTAAGACATCGCTGTCAGTCTGTCTGTCCATCTGTAACCAGGCCGTATCTCATAAACCCTGATAGTTAGACAGTTGAAATTTTCACAGATGATGTACATATTTCTATTGGCGCTATAGCAACAAGTACTAAAAAACAGTGATTGTGTAATGGTACGGAACCCTTTGTGCGCGAGTCTGACTTGCACTTGCCCGGTTTTATTTTTATAATGCAGACAGAAGGGTTGCTATAGCTGCGACAAAAATATTTTAGTAGTGGTGGTGGACGAACTATGCATTGATGGCGCAGTTGCTAAGCGTATTGGCTTGGGCACGGGGGGTTAAGGTGGTATGACGAGTTCCAATCGCGCCGGGCTACCGTCGGGCGCAGTGGTCGAGACAGGGCAGCGGGTATAGCCACTAGTCGTATGCAAGGGCGAACCGATACGCGGTACAGTCACGTGCAGCGGTCGAGACAGGGCGGCGGGTACAGACGCGCGCAGTTATCGAGACAGGGCGGTGGGTACAGTCGGGCGCAGCGGTCGAGACGGGGCGGCGGGTACAGTCGCGCGCAGTTATCGAGACAGGGCGGCGGGTACAGTCGCGCGCAGTTATCGAGACAGGGCGGTGGGTACAGTTATCGAGACAGGGCGGTGGGTACAGTCGGGCGCAGCGGTCGAGACGGGGCGGCGGGTACAGTCGCGCGCAGTGACTTACGGCGGCGAGGGCCGGCTTCCCGGCGGCGGCCGCGCGCGGCGCCAGTTCCGCGAGCACCTGCGGCCGCGCGGGCACCCCGGCCGCGCGCTCGCCCCGCAGCCGCGCCAGCGCCTGCTCCGCCCGCTCCCACCCGCCCTCCTCCGCGCCCGCGTCCGCGCACAGCTCGATTATGTTCGTCAGCGCGGTGGCCGACAGTCTGCGAACGGACAATTTTTAGTGCAATAAAGATTATTCAACGATTTTTATTTATTTATACTTCATTGTTACACCTGGGCTAAAGGCTAAAACGGGCGGACTTATTTATTTATCAATATATTATTGCCTAATGGCATTCTCTACCAGTCAACCCTTGTCATGGTGAAAAGTAGATGGTAGGTGCTAAACCGAAGAGTAAATGTAATAAATAAATAAATTTCCTTAAAAGTTAATAATTGTAGGCAAATATATACAGCGTGTCGTTACCATCGCGACAATAAATGAACACGCATATAGGGGATAACTTTTTAAAGTTGTATTGAACATTTAAATTCTTTAAACATCAATATTTACAGAGTTATTAAGTTTTCCAAAACAAAGAATTTTAGAACACCCTTACCTATAAAAGCGTAACGTAAAGTTCATTTGTAAAGGTCACAAAGCATATGAATGGGTTGAATGAATTTAAAGGAGACAAAACATACTGTTAGAAGGAGAGGCTTGTAATGCGACGCTGTGGCGCGAGTTGTATAGGATGTTACAAATTTTGTTTCTTTTTTACTTAATTAATTTGTTTGAAAAATATTTTTTTTTAATTATGGATTTTGTTTAACGTTAATATTTTTTTATGATTATTGGCAAGTAGCGTTAGACGTGTGTTCATTTATTGTCGCGATGGTAAAGACACGCTGTATATATATATATATATATATAGAATATGAATATGTATGAATATTGAGTGCATTAAAGATTAAATGAAATGAAATTAAAACGATGATCTAATTGTGCCGAGAGAAGTGTTCTTGTGTACTGTGACCCAATTCGGAATCCAGAATATTTCTAGTAAAAGAATGTTAATTGTCTTGTAATCTTATCAATTAAGATCGATTTTGCTGTTGCAAAACAATAGTAGGTTATGTGATAGAAAATGCCTTTCTTTACTTTCTGACGCACAAACATCGGGCTCGGCCTCTATTGAATGATTTAGTCGCTTAAGGTTTTGGGATTCAACTCTGACCCGTTTTATGGTTCTTTAGCCTCTGCTAAAATACGGATTCGGGAGCTTTGTACCTAAAGTTCATCATTATTCTCCTGACATTGTTCCAGCTAAGTTGAGTTAGCCCAACATTAGAATCATTAAACAAATATAAAACGTCTTTAAGGAAGAAAATAACCAAATAAATCATTCAAATAGGTTGTACAATCTTTATTTTCTGTCTTTATTTTAATTTTTAATTTCTTTTATTTTTTGTTCTGCGCGTCGTTTTTTGGTTAATAAATTTATTTTCTTTCATTCTTTCTTCTTCCAAAATAACTTTTGTTTCTGATGATACCAAGTCTGCCGCTTGACCAATTTAAACGTAAAATTAGAAGTCAACTTATGGTTAAAGCATATTATACCATTACGGAATATCTCGACGACGCCAATGTGTGGAGTTAATACTGTTGATACTCACGTAGGCTAGAATAAGACTATTATACCTGTATGTTATATTGTAAACTGATACTTTAGAAAAAGAGCAACTGTTGAGTTTCTTGCCGGTATCTTGTACTGCTTTCTGAACCGGTGGTACCTTACGAACCTATATACATAATTTTTGATGTATAATTTGACGATTCATAAGAGCGCGCAAGCGTCTATTTGAATAAATATATTTTTGACTTTTTTGATTTTGACCAAGAATTATTTATTGGTCAAAATCAAATATTATTGGTCACTTCGCTCCAATGGAACATAACCTAGCTATCAAAACTATGTTCACTCCTTACTTTTGGCGCTTTCGAGTGTAATCAAAAAGGGTCTATAGATACTTACTTCTGAATTGGAGACCGCCTCTCGCCAGCCTCCTCCCTCTCCTCGGCTAGCTGCCCGAACTTGAGTATGTCGGCGGCGGCAGCTCGGATCTTGGCTTTCACTTCATCATCTAAAAACGATCTTAAGTTAAATTAAACAGATATTGGGGATTTATCGAATTTATTTGTAATTTTAATTCCTATAACGTTTCGAATAAAACAAACGGCGAACGACAAAGTTCGAAAATAATGCAAAGAAAACGCCACGTAACAATATAAGATACCAATAATTTGACATTAAATTTGGAAACAAAAAATGGATGAAGTTTTTCACCAACGCGGGAATACAAACCCGCTTCTTCTGGAACCGCGGCCAAACGCTTTAAACACTAAGCATAAGCTAAAGCTTCGGAAAATACTGGCTTCGATTCTCGAGGCGGCGAAAAACTTTCCGTCAACTTTTTCTACAAATATTAATGTATGCAATAACTTAAAGCAGAGATTGGCACTATACATATAACTCAATTTAAACTTATAATGTCGTTTACGTTTACGGGCAAAGGTGTAAGCCGGTTTCATACCTTGGTACTGGTAGCAGTTGCAGAATGCGTTCAAAAGCCTCTCGACCAGCCTGGTGCGGTTCGCGTGACCGAAAACGACCAGCTGCGACCAAGCCTGCGCCAAGCGGTCTCCAGCGCCGCCCAGCTCGAGGACTTTTATTATCTGCGGGCGGTACCAAAAACATCCAGAAGGACCTTCGAAGACTACGCATGCAAACTTTCAGACTTCGAGCCCCCCCCGCATAAGGGAAACAGATATTTTTTTTATGCAAGTTTATGTTAAGCGATAACCGCATCCCATGGACATTTACAACATCGGAGCAGTCACAATATGTACTGAATTGATAAAACTCTTTGAATTATTTATTATATAAAAGAGCTGTTGGTAACAGGGCAAGCGGTAAACATAATGGTGTTGTCTATTGCCAAATACTGAAAAAAAAAAAAAGGCTTTCCTTTGAAATAAAACGCAGCAGAAAATGCAAAACTATAAACACTATTATTAATCTCCTTCGGCGTTGTTCTATTTGTGTTGTTGTTACGACAGTAGCTTCTGTCATTGCAAGACAAAATTGTACCCTAACGCCCTCTAGCTCTGCTCTGGCTATAAGTTATATAATTTTTTTGGCATGCAAAATTCATAGCACGCAATTTTAATTTTTGGTTAGGTTAGTGTAAAGTTAAAATTAAAACCTCGCGGCCACCGTCTTGTGTATGGTGTTTACGCTATACCGGTTTAACCTTTGGTAGCACAGAAAATTATTTTTAGTTTTTTTTGTTACAAATTAAATTACCTATAATTTTTGTTTTGTAACTTTTAGTCGTAAAATCAAAAATAAAGCAGTTTTTACCGAAAATAGATAAAAATCAGGGAACAAATTTTCTTCTGGTCATTATTACTTTTTAGACATTTTACAAAAAAAATGTCATCAAATGTCTACAATTTCATGGAATAAGTTTCATCGAAAACCTCCACCACAAAACTTTTAAAATTATTCGTTTGTACATATGTTACATGTTTAGAACGCGCGCAATAAACTTTTAAAACATAAAATTTTACGCCTTAAACTTACATTATCGTATCATAGTCATGTAAAAATTTGTTACCTCCTCCATCACAGATGGTTCTGGAACATATATATTTGGTATTAATGTGTCGAGCAGCTCTAAAGTTTTCTCAAAAGGTGCATGCCTGAAAATCAAATTATTTCACATTTTTAATACTAGTTTAAAATCATTTTAGTAAATTAGAAATTGAGGGACTCTATATTATTTTAAGTAAGTTTTATCATTGTTATTTAATGAAAGTATTTTGTAAAATTGCACAAGAATGCTTTTACTTGAAAAGTTTGAATATTGAGACTACACATGTCACAGTTATGCATTTAAAAAATTTCTTTAGAAATGCCATCCATACTAATATTATAAATGCGTAAGTAACTTTGTCTGTCTGTCTCTTTTTCACGCCAAAACCGATTTGGTACAGAGATAGTCTAGAGCCTGAGAAATGACATAGGCTATTTTTGAATTGGAAAAAGTTTTATAAAGGGTTGAAAGTTAAAATATTCATATATATATATATATATATATACCCTGAGTAAGACCATGACAAAATAAGTAATTACCTGCAGGTAACTGTTATGTAATGTCTGTAGTAAATACTTTCTTTGTATGCATCACCCACTAATTTGTAGTTCTCATCTTTCATGAGCAGTTTATGTAGACGCTCCGCCAAGGCGACGTCCTAAATTAATTATAGTGATTAATTTCTTTCTATACCCTAATATAAATAAGACATTTTTATAGACTACTACTACTATTTTTATAACTTATTTCGATGTTCGTAATGACAAAAATCTCTTATCTGCTTGTATTGAATTTTCTCTTGCTAAAGTAGCATATAAACTTAATTCTTTAACTTTTAACTATCTTTAATGTAGTTTGCATTATATCAATTCTTTATTCATGGTAAAAAATAATAATAACCTGTAAGTGATCACTGCACACTCCCATAGCAGTAATGAAGAAGTTTGTATCTGTTGCATCTTTAGGTTCCAATGTGTCCCTTTTTTCTAAATCATTGAGAATTGATGAGAGGATATCTATTTGAGGACCACCTGCAACAATGTTTGTTGTTAAATAATGTACTTTAGAAATATTTAGATTATTGACTAAAATAATTCACTAAGTAAAAGTTATAAAATTATTAAATAACATATTGTATATAATATTACATACTAATAATCATCTCAGCCTTTTGCTACATTTAAAAAGCGTAGTATAAGAAAAGAACAACAATTTATCTAAACTTACGCTCTTTGCAGAACAAACACAGCAGGTAATAGTATGCCGATAATCCAGGTTGGATGCCTAATTGTTTAAATTCGGCTAATATTTGCAAAGCAATTTGCTGTAGATTTTTACCACCTCCCCATGCTGATAATGACCGGAGACATGATACAAGGGTCCCTTGGTTAGGTGACAAACCCTGAGACAAATCAGAGAACATATTAGAAATTTTGTTAAAAAATAATGTATGGTATAATATATGCATTTTAAACAATGTATTTTTATTTAAAGAGTTTAAGAACTGAAAACTTCCGTATTACATTATTTCATATTAAAGTTAATATATAACCTGTTCATTCATTTGTGTAAGCAGAGATTTCATAGCTTCAATTCTCAATACGGTACCCTCTTTAAGAAATCCGACACAGGTCAGTAATGAATTGAAAGCATTTGTTGACAAGGGAATGCCATTGTCTAGAGCTTCATTTGCTAATGCGTGCGCCCTTTCGGCCTGTAAGCATAATAAAAATACTAAATTATATCACACTAAAAATTTTATTCAAGTAAATAAAAATTTATATTACATAATATTTTTTTTTGTTTGTTCTAATTTTATTATTTTATTGTAGTGATAGTTTTAGGTTTGTTAGGTTACTGTTCTCCTTAAAGGAAGTTTTTTATTATATGTTGTGTTTACCTTTAATTTAAATGCATATATACAATGTTTAAGTGCACCTCATAATAATTGTTTCTATATGTATTTAGTTGGTAAGCCTTCTTAAATAAATAAGTAAATATATATTACATAACAAATATGTATTTTAAACATTGTTTAAATGGGAATACAATAAAATTTTTACTTGGTAATATTTTGCCATCCCTTGAATCATTGCACAGTAAGCTTCTGGTGTTTTTGGTTCCATCGAAGTGAAAATTTTGTCTGCCAAACCACCCAATCTGTAGAAGGGAAACAATCACAATCATTTTATACTTGGAGTTTATAAGATACTTTGTAATATACACCCAAAATATCATAACACAATAAATTTATGTGTGATTGCGTGAACTAAAGGTTAATTTAAAGGTTCCCATCTGATTTGCAACACCACATAATATAATCCATGGGTATGAGCAGTAATAGTCACCTCCATGTAGCAGCCTGTCGTTCACGAGTGTTGGTAGCAAACCATCTTTCTTCTAGCCATTCCATTGACAGTGGTTCCTTCTCGTTATAGAAACAAAGTAACTGAAGAAATTCAATTTTAAGCTCTTCACTTAAAGCTTCAACTCCACCAAGAAGTTCAAATACTTTTTTTGCATCTTCTATAAGTACATTTTTCAAGGTGTATTTGAAGTCCTCTTCCGTAACCTGTAAAAATTCTGTTAGCAATTTTTGTATTCACAATTTGCATATGATTAATTAACATAAAATTAATGAAGATTTTTTTAACAAAATACAATTAAGAATATTTGGTTGCCATAATATACAATTTTTGTATATAATAGTAAGTAGAAGGTTCACCACACCTTGGAGTTTTACCTTACTTTCATCATTGTAGATAGGTTTGGGGGCAAAAGCATCAATGTGAGGGTCAGCATTGAAATGTGGAGTTTTCTGTTTGCCTGGGGGATCCCATTCTCGTGTTGTGAATAGATTAGCATGTTCATCTCTAATCCAAGCTGCTGCCTTTCTGCCAGCTTCAGCTGATAGCGCATAAGATCGTTTACGAAAGTTGGACAGTGGTATCAAGTATGGATCATCGTGATACCTAAAAATTTTTTTTCAGTAAATACATTTAACATTTTCAATGATCATCATTTTCTTATTACATACTTGTAATGTGCTGCTGTTGGATCTGCACCAACTGTGGCAGCCAAAGCTTGCAGGATATCTGTGGGGCCCCTGGGAATTCGCACTGGTGGTGAAATGCCGTCACTGGCTGCGTTGCTCTGAGGAAGTTTTTGGGATTCTATTGTGGCTGCCGTTCGGCAGATGGAAGCGATTTTCGACCATTGTCTGGAAATATGAGATTTTATAGTACATAAATATACTTTTAATAATACTTTTTGAGAAAATAAAAAATATTGAATGTAAACAACACCTCTGCAAAAGTATGTGTGAATACATTGAAATTTCTTTTTGCCCAGTGATCTGATTACTTGTGTGTTTTTATTTAAAACTGCTTAAATTCGTTGAAGGTTAAGCAGTGGGCAATAATAAAAATTTAACTTTTACTTTAAAAACTTAACCTATACTTTATGAAATTAAGAATCAAATCAAGCAGGAAATTGACATTTTGACAAAGTTGCCAGGTTGCCATTGCCACAAAGATCTACATCTACAAACTACATGCTATTTTACTCAGCTACAGCCTATCGTTTATTAGCTGTACAAAGTGTCAAAAAGTACGTTTACTGTTTTTTTTCATTTGTACAATATAAAAAGCAACATCAAAATAATTTAACTGTATGTCAGGTAGCTTTTGAATCGCTTAAGACGTGTAGTTTTAATTTTTAATATTAATGATTTTCGTGAATTGATTAATTTCATAAATGTTGTTTTCCTCGAACAATTTACACCAGTTATAGTTTTATAGTGCAGTTTATTTTGAGGGTTCCGCACCCAAAGGGTAAAACTGTATATCTGTCCGTCTGTCACCAGGCTATATCTCATGAAACATATAGTAAGAAAGTTGAAATTTTGACAGATGATGTATCAATAATAAATGATGTATTTCTATTGCCGCTATAACAATCTGAAATTATAGCTTCCGCCCTATAAAACTGGGTTAAATTCGTCGCGACTCTTAGAAGGTAGGGAATCAACAGTTGACGCCTTCAGGAAAGTTTCCCAGTACATTTCCACACCATACGCGACATGGAACTGATGGATGAGCTATTCTCTGACCACCGACCAGTTATATGTCGGGTACTGCTCTCAGTAATAGCCAATTCCCAAACTAAACCTATAATCATTTGCCATAAAGTAAAGTCAGAGCAGAGCTAATTTGTCCCAATTAGAATCAATCCCCCTTCAATTAACAACAACAGGATCTGTATCAGGACTCTGTAGTCCGCAATTCGGGTTCTCACTAGCCACGTCCAAACGTCGTCGCTTTCCAAATCCCCCAAAAGTAATTCCATTTCCGCGATGCCACCACTAACCACTAACTCGCCCGATAGGGACGTTAGTAATGCTGGCCGAAGAGAAGGTTAGTTAACAGCCTCAGACCTCAATGCTCTCCCAGTCTGCTTTCGGTCAACCCCATTCACTTTCGTAAGGTGAATAGAGAGTTTGAAAGGAAAACGAAAAATCCACCCTGCGATCCCGTTCCCGAAGTAGAGCAACTCATTAAAAACTTACGCCTGGGTAAGATAGAATCACCAATAAGGTGACCAAATTACTTCTTGCCAGTATCATTATCATACACCTTCCGGCCAGTATCCTTAACATACACCTTCCTGCCAGTTTGATTATAATCATCATATTAGTAATCATCTACAACACGGCCATGACCGAAGGCCTTACGATCATACGAATGGAAGGAAGCTGAAGGGTTGAAGGGAAGGGCTTATAGGGTTCTCTAACTCCCTCGAAACCCACCACTCTCCCAACTGCATATCGTCCAATTATTCTTATCAAAACCTTAGGGAAGATGTTTGAACGACTAATTTTAGCCCGCTTACGAACCACACAAGGAAATACAAAGAAAGAAGATACAGGAAACATAGTGTACATACAGGCCTTATTGCTAAGGTAGCAATTTCTTTCAATTTTTGCAAATTCGTCTATAGCTTCACTGACATCCAAGTTTGATGCTGCCTTGTTTTCTATTGCAATTAATGTTAAATGTCGATGCTGTTTCTTAAATAATTAATCATAATCTTCAATGTACTGAAAGATCTCTCTGCAGACGCGGAAGTATTTGAAATTGTGTGAAATAGTAGCATTACTTTACACATTTTCGTAAAGTCACATTCAAGCACGTCTATTTTCAAAGGCATAAGGAATACTAGAAAAAAATTGGTTATGAACCGTCCAACGGTTTAGGCAGCTAAGATAGATCTCAGAGGGTAGGAATTTTTCCGACTTACTTAATACTTATCTTAATATTATAGCTAAAATAGACAAAATCTTTATAAATTGTAGTCTATGTGTTATTCTAATGTTCAACCTTTCATCAATTATTATCGTCCGTCCAGTGGCTTTGCCTATTGATTCAATTCAACGGAACTACAATATAGGTTTTCGACCCAAAACCTATAGGGTACTTCCGGTTAGTCTAGAATTGTCAATTTTGGTTAAAATTAAGGATTTGATTTTTATACACCTAATGGAAACTTTAAACCTCAGTATCTGGTATAAATTTCAAGTTGCTAGGTCCATCCGTTCCTACGCAAAATCGGTGGTGTTACACGGACAGACAAACGGACATGGAAGTGATCTTATAAGGATTCCTTTTTTACCTTTTAAGGTAGGGAACCCTAAAAATCTTGTGAGTATGCTAGAGTCGAGAGCTACCTGCTCCTTTCTTTTCAAAGCTTAGGGGGCCCTCTGAGACAACCACGGTGGGAAAATTTTATAGTATGTTTGTCTCGTGCCCTTTAATTAATTACTTTTATGGAAAATTACAAATTTATAATCAATTGTAGTATCCCCTTCAGTTTAAATAAAGTCGGAAGAACCTTGTTCCCAGAGCCAGTCCTCTGGTTTCTTATGAACATTTGCATGATGCTAAGCTATGCACAACTGCAATGAACAACTGTGGATACTCATGGGAATATCAAAATGGTTAAAAGATTTAACCATTTTGTTATTCCCATGAGCACTGATAAAAAGTATAAAAAATCTTAGTAGTTTAGCAAGCAAAGAAACTTGCTAGACTAAATATTTTTTCAAATCCGACTCGTAATTCCAGAGATTCAAACGATTAAACAAGCCAAAAAACTCTTCAGCTTTATTATATTAGTACAGATACACGTACTTTAACTGATAAATGTCAGTATATTAGTAAATAAATAAACGTACATAAAATAAATTATATAAAATATTAATAATATAACACGTAGGTAGTTTAAAATGAATTAATCACACATTTATTGAATGTTTATTCTGTGCCATGATAATGCAAAAGAAAACAGAAAGACATATTTAGAATTTAAGGAATTACCGACGTTAGATGAAAAATTGCCTGAAATTTGGCTGTTATCAACCTGTACTGAATGATTATTTGAATGTTTGAACTGAGGACATTTGAATAGAGTCGCATCAACACATGACGTTTTATTCAAGTTGAATATTGTTCCTCGGGGACATTCGACCTGTCTCGCTGTAACAAGGCCTTTTATGCCTTCTATACAAGTAATGAATGCTCTACAATCCTCATTGGAATCGGACTCAAAATTTCCGACTCCAGTACAGTTGTAGTGTGGCAAGCATTTATAAGTAGTAACGTTAGTGCATAGTTGTTCAATATGACTGTAGATAAACGTGTCTGGGCAGGTAAGGTTATATTCCATGAATCCTGTGGCTCCACTTATGCACATGGTGTAGCCTCGGCATTCTTCCAATTGGTTTGGAAACCTTCCCCTTTCAGTGCACTGAGCTGTGCTTGTAGTTGGGAACAGTACCTGAAAGAAAATTGTATTTTAGTAATATATTTTACAAACGTTAATTGGAAAAACAATCTATACAATTAGGGATGTTAGCATGCTTTTTATATTAAGGAAAACCGTGTTAAAATCATGTCAATTTCTTTGAATTATCTTATTTGTAGTTCATTTAAACCTTGTATTTTACTACATGTGATAAAAAATTTCTTGTTTCTTTAAGTATTATTGTAATCAACGTGCTTATTTTGCAAAAGCCGCGAAAGATTATATAAAAAATTACAGTGCAATACGGTGTTTTGATTTTTTATACAAAAATCACTAAGTACATACATTGTAAAATGCCTAAAATAGTTTTTTTAACCATTTGTAGTAGCGAAAATTTTAGAACTAAAATTTACAAATTTCGATAGAATTATAATAGATGCACATGCAAAAAAAGTATCTCAGAATGTTAAATTCTTGTGTAAATATCAAAATTTAATTCAATGTATAAGTACAATTCTACGAAATAATTTTATTATTTTTCAATTTCGTATCTGTACCAATCATACATTTTATAATTTTAGTTTTTCTTCAACTACGTAACAACTATTTCAAATAATTTTCATTCTCTTACTCGCTTATTTGTATTTCCCATCTATTATACACCCTTCAGAACATCAGCTTACGTCAATTAATTATTATAACGTGCTTGTTATTTCTCTTTTGCATGCACATTTCTTTATAATCTTATTATTTTCTCACATTATGAAATCAAATGACGACTCCGTGGTGCAGTTGTCAAGGTATTGGCTTCGGTGCTGGTGGTCATGGGTTCGATTCCCACACGAGGCAAGTATTTGTGTCACCCACGAATAATTGTTCATTTGAAATTTATGTTTGTAAAAGCTCTTACAACACAGCATAATGTAAGCAGTAAGGGCAATGTTTAAAAAAATGAAGAAAAAAGTATCTATAGTATAGTATAATCTCTACTACCAATGAACTGATTCTTGTGAAAAGCTTATAGAGCTTAGAGAAGCTTCTGTAAAAGCACGAATGGACCACTTTATGACCAGTCTCAGTACGTTGGTAGGGACTCTGAGGTTCCTAACAAAAATATACACGTGATCCCGTGGAGCACACCTGTTGGCTGGCTGTATATTTGCAAACCATGTAAGAAACTTGACGTGGGCCTTCCTTGAGCGAGGAAATGGGAAGGGTTAACCTTATAAACCTCTATTTCCTGGCTTGCTTTTCGGCAAAAAGTAATTGTCTCTTCCTTACCGGGTCCACTAAAGTGAATAAAGTGGCCAATACATAATCTCAAAGTTGTGATACGGCAACATAGATTTATATAGTATGTCTATTAGTGTAAAACGATTGGGCAAACTAGAACATAATAAAATGACAATACAGGGTGGCTTTTATAAGTGTATCCATTAATCATAATCCATTTTTTTATTACACTCTAGACATAAATAATCTTATATAAAAAATTATAAATATTTGATATCACTCGTAAGTAATTAATTACATTTATTTAAACTTATCTTTAAAATTGGGTGATTTATACGCAACTCGTTTATTTTACGCGCGATCATTCATAACTAACACGCACAAAAGTTCGTGCACAGTAAAATTTAGGTATTTATGATTTTTTATTTCAATAAACGATTATACTACCGAGTCTGAACCTCCTGTGTAAATTTGGGCACTTCTCAAAAAATCTCCCGGTATAAAGTAAAAAAAAAGCAAAGTAACTGCCTATACATGTCCCACTGCTGGGCAAAGGCCTCCTTTGTACAGAGGTTATCAGGGCATAGTCCACCACGCGGATTGGCGGACTTCACATATCTTCGAAATATATATATTTTTTTGTTATTATTTCGAAAATATGCAGGTTTCCTCACGATGTTTTCCTTCACCGCGGAGCACGTGATAAGTCAGCACTTAAAGTTAAAAACTTCATTGGTGCCGTCACCGGGGATCGAACTCAGGTTGCTCGAGTATATTGAATTAAAGGCGAGCGCCTGGACACTGAGCTATCACGGCTCCCTGTATAGTAAACTCTAAAATCTCCCGTCAACATTTAAAATTTAGAAAAATTACTTTGCTCTTTAGGCAAAATCGCTTCTTGTTATTAACATCAGAACATATATACGAATAATACAACAATTACACACGAGAACGACGCAGCAGATACTGTTCTTCCTGAAATAATGACCGGGAAAATATGACATCTTTGAAGGCAAAGAAGTGGGACAGTGGCAAGCCTCGTATCTTAATTGCTGACAACACACCCAATAGACACCATTAGTTGTAGGCAGTAGTACATTACAATCGAGTTAGCCGCTTGCTCGTTTGCCTTTTTACTTTTTGTCACATTTAAAAAAGGAAAAATGCCTGTATCTATTTCGTCATTAAAGATATAAGGGTATATAAAGTTAAATTTATACATATGTATAAATTGGATTGGACGAACCCTTCAGATTTCGCTATTATTTACGAATTATTTATTTTCGTACTATATTGTTTTCTCGTACTATATGTAACTTAGAATTAATGCAAAATTAAAAAAAAAAAAACTAAAAATATTAAAGCATCTTGTTTTGTTGATGATTTTCTAAGTGAGTCAATTACTATACTACTGTCCATTAATTGAACATTTAAGTAAGAAATTATATGTACATGTAAATAATTATGTGTACAGAATTTTAAATGTATAGACTATGCTTTGTTTTTAAACAGAGGTTATTAAATGAATGTTAATAAGAGAGAGCGAGATTTAACCAAATTACGATTTAATCTTAAAATTAGCAACACTTTTAAAACATTCATTAAAATTAATTAACGCATAAAACAAATACATTTATGATTACACTTACATAGAGAAATATAACAAAACCAAAATGTGTCACCTCCATTGATATGAAATTATACCAAATAAAAACGAGTTACTATTTAACCAATAACATAACAAACGGACACCTTTAAAAATGATTACCACTGTTTCGGTTTTTGTTAAAAAATAATTAAAAATAAAACACTTGTAAGTTAAATTATCATTTTTATATCTTTCCGTATCGCGGTCAAAGCAATAAGAGAAGTAAGAACTATAATAAAGCCTTTTACAGACGGATGGTCGCTCGAGTGTTGCGAACGAACTGAAAAGTATTTTTATCGATAACAGCAGAATGTGTATGTACGATTTGATAATGTTTCTTAATAAATTTGTAAAAGTAAGTAAAGTAAAATAACATTCTAATAAGTCTCACTGCTGGGCAAAGGCTTCTATTGTACATGGGGTATTAGGGTATAGTCCACTACGCGGCTCCATACTCGGCGTATTGGCGGATTTCACATATGTTCGAAATATTTTTTTGTTGATATTTCTAAAATATGCAGGTTAAAATTTACTGATTTATGACGTGCTCAGCGGTGTAGGAATAAATCTGTATAAAAATATAAATCCTATTGGATAAACGGCTAAATAGCTATGTTTTTAACCCTGCCTCGTCAATAAACTCCCAAATGTTGGGTACGGAACCCTAAAACACATTATTATTAGAAATATATAAATTATAAGTTAATTTTATTCAAATAAAATTTTAGCTCTATAACGGTTGGCATGATGTCATAATTATGTCTTATGATGCTTAATTATGTTGACACGTTGGTTTACCAGTACATTATTAAATATTATACTTTTTAATTGTCCGTTATTTAGAGTAATTGTAATTTATAAGCTAAATATTAAATATTATGTATACTACAAATTTTAAATGATTTTTTAATAATTTTATCGGATGATTTTATATTTAATTTAAATTTCAAATTCTCGACTAATACTTTGCAGTATTCATGGTCACGGGTCTGTATGCACCACGAATGCTGTATTATTGGATACTGTAATCTCAGAAATTATTAAGTACTTATTTATTATTGGTCTGAGACTGTAATACATATTTTAATGATATCAACGTTTTTGGTTAAAGTTAAGAAAAAAGTACCGTAAGCAAAATGGAAATAAATAAATAATCTGTAAACGTGGTTTTCCTACAAGATTAGATTTAATTTTTGATTTGTAGTTTGTTCTTTCTTCCATACCCCTTTACGAGAAATTAAAATTGTAAGCTTTAGTTGCAGAGTGAATAGCTAGTGTAAAATCTTTATTGGGTCACAAACCAATAAAATTAATATTGAAATAAAATTAATAAACATTGGAAATAACGCTTCAAATATATCCTAATGAATGAATACGTTAGGTAAGGGAGATTGTAGGTTAGGATTCGTTTGTTATTTATTGTCTTGCCTGTGATTGTAATCTGTTTGTTTCTCTGAAAATCTCTAGTCGTGATAGAATGATGTTCTATAGAGTCAATAGACGGATTAATGAAACCCATTGTTAAAGTCAAGCTGTGACAGTAATCGTTTATATTATCGTTTTACAATTGCAACGTTAATGTCAATTGTCGACAAAGAAACGTCACTATGTTGGCTCGAGATAAGGAGGCAAATTGTTTGTACATGACTCTAGCTTCACTTGTTTCATGGAAAGATCGTTTGTTTTCATCTTTCACATACTTCGCACTACATTCTTTGAACGTGACCGAAATTTTAGAGATCCGCTTATTGCTTTGCACAAAGCGTAATGTTCCTAAAATTCATATAAATTAAAATGTAGCGACACAATGCATAAAGGCAATTGAGTCTAGCCTTATTAAGTACACCATAAGTAATAAAAGCAAAAATTTCTGTGTTATTTAGCAAAATCAAATTTCACAGAAAAATAAAAGTCAGTTTCCGCTCCTCAACATAGGAGGGGGTGGTAATTTTAACTCCACTTTGTTTTTTGAGTATTTTAAGAAAACTATATGAGTAATCATCACAAAACCGTCTCTTTATATTTAAAAACTTATTAAATTTTATATTAGAAACTTATTTATGAAATAAAATCACTTATTATAGAAAAAGAATTGCATTCTTGGAAAAAAAAAAAATGTGTTCAAAGATCTGGTGCTGGTATTATGGAACCCGGTATCCAAATTACACGAAATAAATTTACATACAAAAATCACAAATATAAAACTCCGCGTCGCATCCTGAGCATTCAATATGTGCCCACAACCCATATGATTGGCACTGAATCCAAGTTTCATCTTGTTGATCGTTGGAGTAATTATCAGAGCAAAAAATGCAACAAGCGTCATCCTGATTTGTGGGCTGGGCATGCGTGGTAACATTTTCTGACATTATAGTGTCACCTGAAGGAACAGACGATTCCGAAGAGGTCGAAACCTCGCTGTTTAGAGGAGTTCTAGAAGACTTTGCAACACTTTACCCACCACTACGCCCACGAGCGTCTCCCCACTCTTTCCCGACTTCTTCCTCTCTGCGCTATAAACTTGATTGACTACTCAAGTTGCTGTTTGTAAGGAGACCCGGTCAATAAAGTAATGCGGGTAATTTGGAACCCGGTTTCATATTACCTGCACCTATCGGGTTCCAAAATTAAAACCTTATTTTGTTACCAAATAATCAAGAAAACAAAAACTAGTTCAAATAAATCTTAAAACTTTCCTCTAACAATGTAAACTTATGCATAAGCATAGTATATACATACTTCGTGTAACGCCTACTGTATTTTACTATTAGACAAAAACAAAAGTTTTGACAGTATTAGGAAATAAAATTAAAAAACATTTGCAGGTGACACAAAACTTCAACTTCATATAACAGGTCCAAATTCGATGCAAAAATAGCGTCAGTGGCGCTAATACGTTTAATGACATCAGTTCGACGTAATTTCATAGGTTTTCAACAGATTTCGTTGTCTGTTCCTGGGATATTAAAGGGTTCCAAATTATCAGCATGTTCCAAATTACCACCTCTTCCCTATATTTCTAATGATTTCGTCTTGCGCAGTGAGTCCCAGCTGCCTTTTTAAAAAGTATATAGCCAATTTTTATCGGCGGTTTCAAGTTCTGCTTATGACATATATGTTTTAATCGATACGATATATTTCCATACTACACCGAAATTTGGTAGAAATGTTTCTGTAGCTCTTGAAAGTAGCCTTTGGCAAATAGAAATGCTAAGAAAATATGAAATCCGCACGTTTATACAAGTGATTGTTAATAAATAGCACCACAATTCTCATTGAGAGTTTTCACGCACTGTCAAACTAAAATGAACTTATTTGTTAGTAAACTTAGTCTACATCCCTAAAACAAACTCGCGTAGTTAGTATAGCTAGTATAGTTTTTTGTTATGTCATTTTGGAGCGACAATAATGCTTCCATGTTTATTTGCATTCACTGTAAATAATATACTTGAAAACATTCACCACAATTTGGATTAAAAGTTTTCCTACAGAACTGTTCACTAGCAATGTAAAACTATCATAATTTGAGGAAGGTTGGCGAGGCGTGCTTATGTAGTCATATTGGCCAACCAATGCCGCTGTTGTTACTTTTTTTTCGGGGAAACAATACTGGTCGTATGATTAATTAATTATGTCTTTTTGATTTAAATTTCTTAGATTTTTTCGCATTAACGAGGCCAGCATAACTCAATCACTAGTTTTATTGTTAAAAAATACCTTAGTATGTTATATCAAATTGTAGCAATGTACAATCTATAATTTAATAAAATCATTTCCTTTATTTTGCATCAATAGCTCAATTTAATTTTTCGTCGATGTTTTGAATGATTTCTTACTAAAATCCATATCAAAGTTCGTGTAATATGCATATAAATTGTGTTTCAATAATTTATCTTATGCATCAGGCAAGATAGACAACAGCATTGATGATAAGCTCTACTTTGACATTGAGGAAAGGTTTGAATGGAGATAATACCCTGAACGGATTAATCTATCCGACATATAGTGTGGTGGATTATCTCAATTATTCCTTATTGGTGCAATTTTCTTTACTGACCTTTGTGGTATAAAACGTTGGAATAACGCAAGCGTTTATTGAGTAAATTGGGAAGCTTCTGAAAATGAAGAACCGGCTTGGTTTTGCGATAGTTTTGGTAAGGATATAGATTGTTCTTAGGAAGAAGGCAAATAAAAATTTTCCGTAACATTCAAATCAAATTACCAGTAATTAAAAACAAAATCACTGATTTATCTAAGTAGGAAAGACAAAAACGCAGTTTTATTGCACGTTTTCCTTTCCGTACTATGAGTTAGTCATTTCTGCTGATGGTTTTGTATATTTGTACAATATTTAAACTATTTAAATTTACTTAGAAATAACCTTTTTAAGGTGCTGTCAGTGGTTTGGCAAGCGCAGGCCGCCGTCAACTGTACTTCGACGGGAGCCGGTCGATTCGCCGACCCCGACGACACGACCTGCCAGAACTACACGCTGTGTGTGTACGTCTCGTCTACTGCTTCCTACCTGTCCTACAACTATGTGTGCCCGACCACGTCCGTCTTCGATCCGAGCACGAGCAAGTGCACCGCCTCAGGCAACTACGTGTGCAACGTAACCACCGCCTCGAACACGACCAGCTCGTCGGTATGCACAGCGGACGGCTACGTCGCAGACCCGAGCTCAACGAACTGTACCACTTACATAGAGTGTGTCGAGATCAATGGAACGTACACGGAGACCACGCTGACCTGTCCCGACGACACGTACTTTGATCCGAACACAACGCTTTGCGAGTCAGACTACAACTGCACCAGCTCAGACAACACCACGTTCACATTCAGCTGCACCGCAGCGGGCCGATTCGCCGATACCGCAGACACCACTTGCCAGACTTACTACCTGTGCGTGAGTTACTCTAACGGAACCTATGCACAGTACGAATACACTTGTCCTACCACATCAGTGTTTAGTCCAACTGCTAAAGTGTGCACAACTTCGTACACATGCACGACGAGCTCGGGATGATTATACAAAACTCCTGGGATCATTATTAAACTAAGAAAAAAAATGTACTAAGTATATTCAAATTATTTTGAAAAGGGTTGAGCAAGATAATGTTCTACAAATATATGAATTTTAGATACAATGCTACTCTTTTATTTAATAACAGTTGTTATAACCAAATAAATAAGATAAAAAAATCTAAAATAGAAGTAGCCTAAGTAATTCCTTATTACATCAGTTTTCTGCCAGTGAAAGTCCCGTCCAAAACGGTCCAGCCATTTCAGAGATTAACCGGAACAAACAGACAGATAAACAAAAATTGCAAAAAACGTTATTTTGTTATATGTACCGTGTACATACATACATATGCATTTAGTAAAAAGCGGTTATTTTAATATTACGAACAGACACTCTAATTTTATTTATCTGAGATAGATACATTTCATTAATTGAACTATCGAATTAATGGAAAACTAAATTACATAGATTCGTATTAAGGTTTAGTGCAAAATAATATTTGGAGTCTGGTATAGGTATATCATAAAACATTTAATTTATATTTATTAATCTCATATATTATATTTATTAATCTCTTATTTTGTGTATAAGAAAATACTAAGTGTTATAAAGTTAAATGCTCCAGCTCTTATCCGATCGCCTAGGTGGGGTCGGCACAACATGAATCATGTTCTTAATGGCTTTGGTTAGCTTTTTACTACCGGGACCGCCTGACTGATGTCCACCCTCCTTGGAAACAAACACCCAATTCGAGAATAATTATTCGTGTATCACACAAATACTAATTCCGTGCAGTTGAACCCCTAAGCCCCCGGTGCTGAAGCCAATGGCTTAACAACTGCGGTACCGAGTCACCTATACGTATAAAGTCAATAATTACTTTTAAGCGGTAAAATACCGTGAAATTTTTTCGTGTATTTTTTCCACATAGAAAAATACATTATTTTTGCAAAACATTGAACAATCTGAATTGATTCTGAAATTGAAACAAAAAATGAAAAATTATTATTGAAGTTTTAATATCATTCTAATTTATACATTTATATTTTTTATTTAGAGTTTCCGTCGATTTTCACTCATATTTAAAAAGTGATGATTTTCTAATTTCTTTACAAATTATTGTAGCTAACGTGTCTCTAATATACAATATTATCTTAACCTAAACTGTTAAAACAAGCATTATCTATAAAACGAATATCAACAGCATGAGTTTAATATAAACACAAATTCGTTTGTTCAAACCACTTATGAAAAAGCATTTCAGAAGTTTAGACAATTTTTGTAAAGAAAACTCTTCGGCCTATTGTATATTCAGTAAAAATCTCGATCAAAGCTATACCACACAAGTTCAGCAAGATATCATGTCATGGTAAACTGAGGTTGGGTCAGTACTCAACTCCGACTCCTCCGATCGGGTTCCCGCCTTGACGAGGCGGAGGGCCTTAGTAGCCGTGGCTTGGTCCGCTACGGCGAAGCCAAGAGGAACCCACACTGGGCCGGCCTGTGGTGTAAGGCCGGCCCGAGAGGGCCGCTCCGAGTGGGCTCATTGAGCCCACTCTGGATGCGTGCTGGAGGGTGCAGGGGACAGGTCGAGGGTGGTAGAGGTGGAGCCACTCTCCCTGTCTTCTGCTGCCGAGGAGGAGTCGCGGGGGAAGAGGAGTGTCGGTATTGCTTTGGACGTGCTCCCTATCCTTCGCGACTCGGTGGGGCTGCACCGCTGATGCAGTGGTGGTGGGGCCGCGGGGGGAGAGGAGTTTCGGTATTGCGGTGCGCCGTTCTCCCTATCCTCCGCGGCCGAAACGTGGTGAGCGGCAGAGCCACAGCTCAGGTCCGCCGTTGGGGGCTGGGAGGCTTGCTGCTTATTAGCACTGGCTCTCCTGGCTCCCATGGCCTAGGTTAGCGAACTCGGGGGAGTTCGTTGGCCGTGAAAATGGGGCCGAGTAGGAAGGCGCGTTGAATGTTCCAGCGCGCCTTACCTGGAGGAGAGGGGAGTTGCTCCCCGTGAGGGGGCTGCTAAGGCGGCCAGCGCTGTCAGGGTCGCAGAAGTGTGCGAAAGCGTTCCCGTGACCCTGCCGATATGCGCCTAGGTGTAACATCGTGGGGGTTTTAGTCGGTGCGAGTCCGATATGCCCCCGCGAGGGCGGGTATGCGTAGGCATTTCCCCGACATCAACAAAAAAAAAAGTACTCAACTCCGAGTATCTCTTGAAAGATTATTTGAGCGAGGTGACCTCCAAATTTGTTTCTTGTTGATGCACTGATTTAGATGTTCGACTCTCGATTTCTTGATTCAGTCGCCGTGCTCAAAGCCCGCGATAAAAGCTATGCAATAGCTTAAAAACTAATAATATTCGATCAATCCATTTTATAAAATAGACTTTCAATTTCTCCGATACGGAACGGCTTTTCTTTAGGTCATTTTTATCAAACATCGCATGTAGTATTTTATAATGTCATTTCTTTTCCACAGTCACTTTTGTTTCTTTTTAGAGTAACCAAAAAGCATATTTTTGATTTTTGAACTCCCCTTGATTTTAAGGTCTGGGTACGCCCGTGCTGCCGTTTCGATTATGCATTCGTTAGCAAAATTAAATATAAATAAAAGTATAGGAAAAAAGAATTAAAAAGCATAATAAAAAGTAAACAACAATTTCCTGCCATTTTCTATTGTTTTTCTGTCCGCCATAATGTCTGAATTTCTGAACAGTGGAGTAAATTCAGCATGTTTGTAGTAACGGCGTATCTGAAGAATTGGGGATCGGCCATAAAACAGTTTTGACCCATTTGTAAAAGTCTGGGTAAAAAAAAGGAAAATTTGGGTGCAACACAATCAGATCTTACTTAAATAAATGTAATGAATCGTGTGTTGATTTGATATTTTCTGTTTAAAGGTAACGAAACCAATCCATTTTTAAGATATGTGAAAACGTGTGAAAAATAACAAATGGCATTCAAGCTCCTCAGACAGTAGAGGAACCCGGATTAACGCGCAATAAGGTGACGCTTTGTTTATGATGGGACTGGAAGGGCATCGATAATTATGACTTTTTAGCACCGAACGAAGCCATTTATTGGGGTCTCTAATGTCAACAGCTGATGAGACTTAGCAAGAAATTGAAATAAATGGGCGGAATTGATGAACTGAAAAAAATTCTTGGGATTAATACCTGTTATAGAATCAGTTGTCAGAAACGGTATTTCCGGACCGATACGACTGAAGGACCTTCAAGAAGAGACTCTGTTCCTTCCTCAAAGGTTGGCAATGCATCTGTGATTATGATTGTGTGTCCATGAGCGGCAGTGAACACTTACCGCCAGGTAGCCCATCTGCTCATTTGCCTTCTTTACCATAAAAAATGATAAAATGATATTTCTATTTCTACACATAAAAGCAGAGAGTGAGACTTATTACTTTTACACCTTAGTGTATAAAATGAAGAGATATGCCTTGAATGATTTAATCTGTCTATGACATAATGTGTTGGATTATCTCAATTATTCCTCATTGGCGCAATTTTTTATTGTTCTCCGTATAAAACGTTGGAACAACATAAATGTTTATTGAGAAAATTGCGAAGATCCTGAAAATGTACGTCCGGTTGAGTATTGCGGTAATTCTGGTAAGTTTTCACTAGAAGTTGTATAAAATATTCAGATAATAAACGTTTTCTGCTAGTTTATAAATAACTTTATAACTTTAGACGTCATGCATAATTCATAAGAAACAAAAATCACTAATTTATTAGAGAAGAAACATATTAAATTGTACCTATAGTATTTTTGCACAATTTTTAATTTAGTCAGCAGTTTTAATATATTTCAAGATGGAAACTATTCATTACGTACGACCGGGAAAAGTTCTTAGGGGTGATAAGGAACAGAAAAAATTAAACAACAAAAAATATTAAATATACATTTTAGGAAACAAAAACATAAATATAATAATATAAAAAACGTCCTAAGTATTAATACTCGTAATATGAAACAAAAAATATTTTCAAATGACGATATATAATTTTTTAAAAATTTAATAATTATAAAGTCTAAATCACAATTTAGGACTATCCTATACCGAGGAGGTAAGGATATCTGAGCTGTGAATTTGCTCTAGTGAAAAGTTTCCACTTAAGTTTACCAACAAAAATAGTGGGATATTTCTGTGATACAGAGAGTACAGGAAGCCTTATTGTTATCTTTAAAATAGTGACCTAGAGCGCGCTCGTTTTCTATCTGTTTCATCAAAGGAATTAAGTAATAAGCTACATGCTTTATCAAGAAGTAACTAAGGTAAATTACTTGACGAATCCGCCTAGAAGCAACTATTTGTCCAACCTTGTGGTGTGTGATGTAGATACATATAGTTGACGAGCTTTTATGTCCAAAAAGCGATGGTTATTTAACCCGCGATGGTTCTCTGATCAGGTCTACGGATGACCGATGATGATGTAGGCTCGTGTTTGCATCATATTCGTCCAATTTTAGAGATGTGCCATTTTCCGTCGCGATGGAAAGAGATTCAATGGCTTAAGTCGAATGATTTGAGATGTTGATTGAGTTGAATGAGTTGAATGGCTTGAATGATTGCGCAAGAAGTATCCCAAACCCTAGTTTGGGATACTACTTGCGTAGTCGTTTTGAAGACCTGTCATGTAAGGGGACTTTGGTCAAACATCAACACAAAATTAACAGCAGAAATTAAACAAGTGCAGTGCACAGCACAGCACTTTTGGAGAGTTTACATAACAATGTGTGCCTCGAAAGGTTCCCTCAAGATAATTGTCAGCTCAATATCGTTTATCAAATTTAAATTATTAATTTTTTTATAGTGCTAATCTCTGCACCTAAAATTTTTAGACGTTTGTAAAAAGACGTTAGGATTTCCGTCAGTGTGGCAATCAGCCGTTTAGCTTAGTGGCTAAAGCGACAGGCGACGAATGCCGAAGCGAATGCGGCGACAATCTTTTCATACTTCTTGTACATATTTTAACATTTAAATAAGTTTAATGTATAAAAATTAATTATCTTTTTAAGGTACTGTCAATGGCGTGGCAAGCGCAGGCCGCCGTCAACTGTACTGCGACGGGGGCCGGTCGCTTTGCTAACCCCGACGACACGACCTGTCAGAACTACACTCTTTGCGTGTACGTCTCATCATCTAGTTCCTACCTGTCCTACAACTACGTATGCCCGAGCACGTCCGTCTTCGATCCGGACACGAGCAAGTGCACCGATTCCAGCAACTACGCGTGCAACGTCACCACGGCTTCCAACACGACCTCCAGCTCGAACGCAACCACCTACACAACCAGTATAACATCTGCATGCACCGACGAAGGCTACTTCGCCGATCCGAGCTCCACTAACTGCTCGACGTACATAGAATGCATCTTGATAAACGGCACATACACATCAACGACCTATACCTGTCCTGATGACACTTTATTCAATCCAAATACAACGCTCTGCGAGGCCGATTACAACTGCACTGACAGCTCGAATTCAAATGACACGTTTAGCTGCACAACCGCCGGAAGATTCGCCAACCCCGAGGACAATACTTGCCAGACGTACTACCTATGCGTGCTGGTCAGCAACGGGAGCTACGTGCCATACGAGTACACCTGCCCAACGTCATCGGTCTTCAATCCGAACACGGCGGTGTGCACCGCATCCAGTAACTACGTGTGCAACGTAACTGCGACTTCAAATACAACTAATACAACATCTGTGTGTACAGCTGATGGCTACTTCGCCGATCCGAGCTCCAACAACTGCTCGTCTTACATAGAATGTATATCAATCAACGACACATACACTGAAACGACATACTCGTGCCCCGACGACACTTTATTCAATCCAAACACAACCCTGTGTGAGGATGATTATAACTGTACAGACACTTCAGATACTACCGACAACGCCACCACCACGTTTAACTGCACCGAGGCTGGCAGATTCGCCAATCCAGACGACACAACTTGCCAGACGTATTACCTGTGCACGCTTCTCAGTAACGGGACCTACGTACAAAATGAATACACCTGTCCGACGTCTGCTGTGTTCAACCCGAATTCGGCGCTGTGCACAGCGTCTAGCAACTACGTCTGCAACGTCACCACCACCTCGAACAGTTCGTCCGTCTGTACAGCAGATGGCTACGTCGCAGATCCGAGCTCAACGAACTGTACCGCTTACATAGAATGTGTCGAGATCAATGGAACGTATACGGAGACCACGCTAACCTGTCCCGACGACACGTTCTTCGATCCGAACACAACGCTGTGCGAATTGGACTATAACTGCACTAGCTCGGACAACACTACAACTGTTTTCAGCTGCACCGACGCAGGCAGATTCGCCAATACTGCTGACACCACTTGTCAGACTTATTATTTTTGCGTGAGTCTTAATAACGGAACCTATGCGCAATACGAGTACACTTGTCCTAGCACATCGGTGTTCAGTCCAACTGCTAAAGTGTGCACAACTTCCTACACTTGCACGACGAGCTCTGGATGATTCTTATAGGTATGCAACATTCTTTTTATTTAACTTATTATCGATCTCTGCTGATACTATTCTACGAAAAAATATGATGTTATGTTAACTTAATCGGATATGGACTGTGTACATGAATACTTTACGATTCAAATATATGAATGTTGAATACAACAATACAACTTTTTTTTATTTTATTGTTTACCAACGCATCAATAACCAACATTACATCAAAAGTTAATAATTAAAACGAGTGTAATTTGTTCGCTGAACTAGGTTTAACAATTTTGAACGTTGGTATTCGTTTAGTAATTTTCATTACTTCGAAACTTTCAGCTAATATTCAGACATTTAATTTAACATATAATTTTTATATAATTATATACATTTAACATATTATTATTTTTTCCGCACATACAAACTTTTCGAAAGATTTACGTCCCCGACTTATCGATTCTTGGCACCATTCCAAAACAGATCCATTTAAAAAAAACATTTCACTCTATAATATTTTGTGGAATCATATTGGAGTCGTACCGGTAAATGAATTATTTAAAAATAGAAATCTGTTAATGGCACTATGTTTGTTAAAATTTATAGTTTATTATGTGTATGTATACGTGCTGTTCACTCCACGACATAAATAAATAAGAAATAGAAGGAAGAATAAGTAAGAATTCTCCAAATTGCAGAAGTATAGGTTAAAATTTAAAGGAGACAAAAAATATTTAAATGATAACATATTATATGACATTTATGTATTATTATGTACATAATATTTTTATGTTATGTACATAACAATAAAAATATTATGGATAGTGGAATTCGAAATTTAGGATGTTATAAAAATGATGTAACTGTGTATACAATACGGCTAGATACTCTTGTAAAGAAACAGTACCCGGAGGACCGAGCTTTGGTCGGTTTGTTTTTTTTTTGGTAAATCGTGTATTAATTGAAATATGCATAATATTTTTGGATCTTACCGACGTAATAATAAGAAAATACGAACTGATGTTTTTCACAAAAGAAAGAACTTTAAAAAAAAAGGGAAAAAAATAACAAAATAACAAATCTATAAAAAATTAAAAATAAAGAAAGCAATGATCTGGAATCGAAAAAAAAGTAAAAAAATAAATGTGTAAATGATCGTGACGCGAACCACGGCCGTCTGTTTTGGGGCCGCCCGATTACCGACCGAGCTATTATGACATTTTCCCTTGCGGCGAAATTTACCGTCATATTCGAATTATATTTTTCATTCCCTGAAAACAGGGATAAAAGGGCATTTTCTAAAAATGAAACCTAGCTAGATCGATGTTTCGCTCCCGAATCTATGCACATACTAAATTTCATGAAAATCGCTGGAGCCGTTTCCGAGATTCCGATTATATATATATATACAAGAATTGCTCGTTTAAAGGATAAGATATTTAAAACAGTTTCTTGTACGGCTTTTAAAAGGAATTCCGTAAAATACTAACAATAAAATAACTAACAATAAAAAAAAAACCGTAAAATACTCATGTGTTTACGAACAGAAGGAGTACATAACAAAACAAAAAACAATTTTTTAAAATTCAAATTTCCGATCATGATTTTCCACAACTTTAACTAGTTCCACATTAAGCAATGCTCGTTACTTTGGGTACTATGTAAATGACACATCTATTATAGATATGACACACACCCAGGTACTATATAAAGAATATGTTAATCACACATGTTTTTTAAATAGGTTCACTATTAACTACACCAATTAGATCGACTGTTTTCACTAACATTGGACTTTATGAAAGTAGGTAATGAAGTTTATAACGAGTCCTAGTCAATAAATGGATATGCAACACTGAAATTTTTACAAGCTAAATATTGCTTGTGCTTTAATAGAACCTTATGTTATCTTAACCGCAGCAATAGCGATAAGACAAGGAAAGCAATTGAAAATTCCTTTTCGTATGCTCTATAAATGAACGGGAAAGAAAAAATCATTTACAAGCCAAGATGGCGATTAAGACATTGCTAATACAGCGTTATCGGTGAGAATTATAAATATATCTTTTTTATATAATATAAAACTATTTTCTAACTGATTGCTTATGATAAATTACATGGTTAAACTCAATTAGAACTTATAATTTAAGAACTAATCTATGCACTAAAGATGAAACTAAAACAATGTAGAAAAATATTGGATAGTTTCTGGACGGGCAATCCGGAAGAGGTAGGCTCGAATCCAAATGGAATAAAATGAAATAGATTTTTCTAGACAGTTTTATTGACATTTTAGTAAGTTCATCATCTTACAAAATAAAATTTTGATATATGGTCTCTAAAATTCTAATACTACTGTAATATTTTGAATATAATATCTAATGATAAGTTTGTATATTAGTAATGGACAAATTTTCCATAGATGTTTTATAATTAATAAAAATGTTATAACCATTAGGTTATCTTTTTTGTTTCGACTGCGACTTTGTCTTTCAGCTCTTGTAGTTACTTTTACCGAAGATGTATAGATATAGCTAACCGGTGTAAAGCAGTACTATTTAAGTATTAGCTTTTGGTTTTGAAAAGTTGATTAACTAATACATTTAAAACTCTGCTGTTGTCCATGAGAGATAGCATATCTGCAAACATGAAAAATGATTTAAAAATCTATTCTGTTAAGCACCACATGTAAGCCAATTCCAAAGTCGGAATAGAGAATTAGTCTCAGACCCCATAGTATGATGTACGAAGCTGGCGCGAGGCCTGCTTTAATCGAGTCTCGGGGGCCCTGTCCCCATTACTCGGGCATGTATCTCGACCAGCGAATGGCTGGTCGGTGGTGAGGATGGCCATCGGCCATCCCTATCCCTGACCGCGGTAGCGGCACTTGCGGGTGTACGGCGTTACACGTGGTGTGTAACGCGAGGACGACATCGTCTTCGACACAGCGGCGGAAGTGCGGTCGGGTCTGGCCCCCCAATGGCCTGTTCCGACCGCAGTAGCTCTCGTGGGAGCGGACGTCCGTCAGGAGGACGGGCGTGGAGTGGAGCAATATTCTCCAGGTGTGGGTGTGGTCCGTTGTCAGCCCTGTCGTACAAGCGACGGGCCAACCGGACCACAAACTCCTCGATGGACACGATCTTCAGGTCTCTGGCGATTACGTCGTTCCTGACGTAACGCCCGGCTCCCACGATTGTTCGAAGGGCGAGGTTCTGCTGCGCCTGGAGCCTGCGCCTCTGCGAGGCGGAAACCAGTGCATACCACGCCGGAGCGGCGTAGGTCAAGCGCGAACGGATGTAGGTTTTATAGACGCCCAGTTTCGTCTTAACAGGTAGCTTGGATGCCAGGATTGGGTAAAGGACCGCTCGAGCTGCCCTGGCTTGTCGAACAGAGTGTTCGACTTGGGGCGCCATACTCACGAGCGGTCTATCCGGCACCCAGGTTACCTGATGGTGTGTTGGTTTGTTAGCGCTGGACCTTGGAGCTCAAGCGTGGGGTGGTGTTTTGATGTGGCGGATGTAGATGGCGGACGTTTTGTCAACATTGACAGACATCCGCCACTTATCCAACCACTCGGGCAGCAGGTCCAATTGGCGCTGCATCTTCCTCGCCGCAAACGCCGCGTTGTGTGAAGACGTGAAGAACGCACTGTCATCCGCGTACAGGGCCAACAGTACGTCTTCATCCCAGTCGGAGGCGTTTTGCTCCAAGGTGGGAATGTCGTCCGTGTACACCGCATACAGGTGTGGCGACAGACAACTACCTTGTGGTACACCGGCTTTGATACATCGTACCGCCGCCGAGTCGGCTCCCTCGAGAGGCCTTCGTGCCACACTCTGTCGAAGGCCTTCTCCATGTCGAGAAGGACCCCCAGACAGATGCGGCCCCGGTTGTACTGGGCCGCAAGATAGTGCAGCACTCGGGCCAGCTGCGCCGTGGTGGAATGGCCGCTGCGGAAACCGAACTGTTCCCTGCGTAGCTCGATGCAGGGAACTATTCTCCGCAGCAGCAACCGTTCAAAAAAGTTTGGCTACGTGCGGCAGTAGCGTAATCGGTCGGTAGCTCCCCGGAAGTCGTCGGTCCTTGCCCGGTTTCGGCAGGACGATGATCTTACCGATTTTCCACTCAGAGGGGAAGTGCGCCGTGCGCAGTACACCATTGTACAGGCGGCACAGCGCCACTAACCCCCTTTTCGGTAGTTGCCTTATCGCAACGTCGTGATTCCGTCGGTGCCGGGTGCCTTGCGGAGCGCGAGATCACTCGCGGCTCTACGCACTTCAGCCGGAGTGATGAAAAGTCCACCATCCAGCCGTGGCACCGGCTCCGACAGGAACACCTGTAAGTGCCGCTCCACTTCTTTGGTGGAACGCAATGGCGCCTGGGGCCGATGTGTTGGCCACAAATTGCCCTTCTAGGTGCTCTGCCACTATGTCAGCCCTGTCTTGGGCTGCAGCGTGCTTACGCCCATCGCTACCCACGAGTGGACAGATGGGCTTGTGATGTGCGGCTGAGCTGTCGGTTAAGGTGGTGAAGGGAGGTCTGCGACTCGGAGGCCTGCTCAATGCGGCGCTCCCACCCCTCACCCCTGTACGCCTTGATGGCTGCCGACAGCTCGTCCTTGAGCCGATTGAGTTTTGTCTTTACTCGTGGGCAGCGGGTGCGGGCCCACAGCTTTCTAAGCTCCCTCTTCTCGTGTAACCGATCGAGGAGCCTACGCGGGAGCGTGTCTTTTCGGTGCACCTGCGGCACCGCCTTGGTCGCCGCGCGCAATTCTTCCTGTATTTTACAGGTGATTTTGCGCGCGGCCTGTTCCACGTCTTCCGCGGTTGATATGGGGTGCACCGAAGCTAAATGTGGACATTGCCCTCGAATAGGCTCCCCAATCGGTCCTATATTTAGGGCCCCTGGGAGCCAGTGAGTCCGCAGCCAGACTCAGCACGATGAGCACAGGGAGGTGCTGCGTGTCCGCATCGTACAGCACCTCTACCTGGACAGGGCATGGCACTTTGTGGCAGAGCACGATG